AGAGAGAGAGAGAGAGAGAGAAACAAAGATGGCGGTGCTGTTGGTTCCAGCATAGCAGTATAACGATATAGTGCAGTAACGGTACAGTAATAGCAACAGCAGCTAGCAGTTGGTAGCACTGTTGCAGTATAGCAGAACCCACAAGTAGTAGAAAGAAAAGAGAATAGAAAAGGCTGATTTCTATGCCGCCTATGTACTGTAAAAAAAATCACGATCTTTTCGTCTCATAAATCTAACACTAAAACTGAAAGCCCCTGGTGCTGCTCGAGAGCCATTTTACGGGAGTTGGGCGATGAAGATTTAAGAGTGCGCTGCACGTGCGCAGCCCTGCAGCCTCCCTCGACCCTTCTCACTTTCTCTACGTCTCCCTGTCTCACTCTCTCCTAAAATAAATGCAAATAATGATGCATTACCGGAGCGACAATAAATTCCTGGTCTCGTGGACGTAAACGGCAGCACAGGATCCGCTGCATTACGCAGCTGTAAAATCGGTGGTCAAGTAGAGAAATTGTTGTCGCTCCCTGCTGTGCTTCGTCGTAATGAAATAAACGCGAGCACTCGCTGCACCGCGGTCACGCCGTGGCGGATACGCTCTGTTTATGGGCGGTCTGTCCGTTTTTATTCTTGGAAATTTTACGGGTTTATGGCATTGCGTCACGTCGCCGCTAGTCGGTAGTCGTACAGCGAAATCACAAGGACAGTGGTAGTACCGATTAGACGAGCACTACAGTCCAGCGGAATTACGCCAAACCGTAAATAATCCTGTGAGCTTCCCAATATACCGCGCGCAGGGACGGAGGGTCACCAAATTGAAATCCTTCACAGGTTTTTTTTTTCGAATCTCCCTCTAGCCTTCTAAGCATTCTAAATATACCTTATACTGCATTATATTTGCGAATGTGAAATAGAATATTCACCATCGTCGGCACGTCTCCGTGTTTGTTTTCCCTGTTCATTGCATTCACGGCCAATGTAATCAACTAATCACCAAATTGCGCCTCTTTTCATTCGGTTATCCATTTTTCCATAAAATACGTTAATTATGAGTAAATCCTTTTCCCTTCTTTCACTACGAATCTCTACGCCTGACGGTGCTATCATGAAATCTCGAAATCAGTCTGACGCACTTGATCCGAGCGAAAGTATAAAAAATTAGAACAGTAGTATGGTACAGGAGGCACAGCTACGAAGTAAATCGGAGGATGCTCTGACTCTCCCCGGCGGGTGTATTTACTTTAGGATTGAGTCAGTCTCTGCTTCGGGACGCCCGCGCGATTCCTAAGCTCCTCCAATCGTTTGATCGTAACGCGAGTCGATCGCAAGACGCGATGTCAAAGGCGCGTAAAAACGACCAATTGAACGGTGTACTTATATTGGAGCTCTTGAAAGAAAATCCTTCTGCGTCAAGTCAATTCGAATCCTTTCATTCCTATTTTTCCAGACTTTCTTCTCGCACTCTTCAAATTCTTCTACAACCAAACATCTCCTTCTTAAAAGCTCCACTCCATTTACTTCCTACGTACCGTGCAGCTATAGACAATATTTACAATACAATAGTACCAATTGAATAGCAGCCACCGATGTACTGGCCAAATGACGGCTAATTACCTCGCAGAGGAACTGTCCACTCCTTATGATTAGTCTCGGAAAGGTTTCTCTTCCGATCTTCCGATCCTCTCATAACGTTTGCAATTCCCTTTTACTCTTCTGCATAACTGCCGTAAACAATTATAAACTGATAAAGGGTTAGAATCTAGCGAATTAGTCCAGTCACGTGATCCCTGTAATAGAAATGCAGGTCCAATTCGTATATGACCCAAAGGAGGATAAGAATCGGATGAAGTAGATATGAAATCCATAGTGACGGATGCTGAGGATGAGGACGTAGAGCTCTGTGCCCCGAAGCAGGAATTGGTCAGCCAGCGATAGAAATTGCCATGCCTGCAGCGCGTGGTATCCACTTGAGAAATTTAAGAGGCGCCCAGTATCAATGAGGTCATCGCACAATGAGACAGTGCCCAGGTCGTATCGTATCGTAGGGATCTATCTCCGTGGGCACACGCTGCAGAATTCATATCGCGAAGTAGTTCGAGGCGGGGAGGACGCTTGCGGAAAGGTCGGAGGGGGGCGGGGGGTAAATCGGGCTCGAAAAGTTCCCCGTTGGCACGAGCTTTGATGAATTGAATCGGACGAGCCGACTTGGACTTTCTATCTGGCATCGAAGAAGGATGGATTCTCCTCCATCCTACATCCTTCATTTCCGGCTCAGCTCTATCCCCTTCTCCTGGCTTTTTCCTTTTCGGCCGAGTCGACCCCACATATTCCACATACTCCTGCATCAGCTTCCAAACTATCCCCCAACACTTTCGTCCTCGTGTCCTTCTCGGTGTTTTATACGTTCACGTTTTCACTCGCGAAAATGGGGCTCCCCGGATTTCCGGTTGCCTCTATCTGGTTTCGTCATTGCTTATTTATGTCGGTTTCCCGCACGTGAACCAGAGACGCACAGCAGCATGAACCACCCTGAAAAATCTGAGGCCAGAATTCGATAGCCCACTAGACTCTGTGCTCCAGTCTCTATGTGTATGGACCACTTGTCTACTTCCTTTTGTGACTATCGGCAAGATAGCTCTCGGATAAATTGAGTCGGTACTTCGGTTGCCCCCCTCACCTTCGTACCCACCGCCCAAGGCAGCAGCCAACAGCTCACCAGCACCATTTCCCAGGAATGCCGCACTGTGCTTTCAACTCTTCCTCTGGATTTCAGCCGGTCCTGAGTATCAGCGGCATTAGAGCTGCTCCCCGTCTTCGTTGCAGCTGTAACGAATACGCTTTTTTATCAGGGTCATCCTGCAGGGTTGCCTGCGATAACTCTTTCGCTAAATCGCACGGAAGAAGCAGAGCGTCTCCACGCTAGGTGCGTCTTTCTTTTATAATTGCTAGGATGGGAGCTAGCTCCCAGCTGGAGCACCGATGGGACTATAGGATGTCTTGTGTCTTTGAGGCTTTAGAGCAGGGATCTTTCGGTCCATTCAATTTTCTCTTTCCTGTTCCACATTAACCATAATTTTCGTAAATTTTAAGTCCGCTCCCTGGTATTACGTGTTCGCGTTTCGGACTAGAAATATAATTTCACAGCGAAATCCAATTGGCTGGGCGACTGGGAAAAGCTGAATACGGAAGCGCTACTAATGCAGGTTGGAAATAAATGACTGGTACGTTCGCCTAATTAAAATCGCAATTACCCTTTTTTATGCAGCAATTGGTACAGTGTAATCCGTTATATTATCCGGAAAAGACCGGTATGGTATTATTCTGGTATAATCCTTATATGTATAGCGAGATTCATGTAATCATAGTGTGTTTGCGTAATCTGACGAAAACTGAAGTACTCCAGTGCGCAAATACGGTGCACGCTCTTTGGATGCTGTAACTACATGGCTTACGAACTAGCGAACAGACACAGTGGAAAATTGGGAACGTCGGAACGAGGGAGGAAGAGAGAGAGAGAGAAAGTAAAGAAAACAGAGCAAGGGCTTCCTATTCCACAAACAGACCATGGAAAACCCTTAGGGTCTTGGCTCACGATTATGGTCCAGGAAAAGCTCTTACCAGCTCCCAAAACGCGCGGACCACCAGAGCGCGTCGTGGAAACGAAACGTCATCGCGATATTGCGATTCGGTCCACCATTAACATTCATTCGCAGCTCCACGGAATTTCTATTTCCACTAATTTCTCTTTTCGCTCTGCTTCCTCCCGCTGTCGTTTCACAGCGTTTCCTCATTTCGCAAAACTTATCATATTTTACTACTTTTTCTGCTTCTCTAGCTACCTTTCTTTCTCTTTCTCTCTAATTGTATATTTCTTTATACGAATAATCTAGCCCAGTCTTGAGCTCCTTTCAAGCAACGTGACCACGAACGACGAGGATATCCCGAGATTGGAATGACGGTATCGAAAGAAAATAAGAATCTCGGTGCATTTCTTGAAAAACCAGAAGGAAGGAAATAAATTGCGGCTCAATTATAATTCAAAGAGCGAGGAGAAAAGGATCGAAGGCAAGAGAGACGGTTTTTATAGATTTTAATTTCTTTTTTTGAGAATATCGACGATTTTTCCAAATCTATACAATCTCTATTCCGTTTCGTCCCTCTCGGAGTTCGTCCATTCGGAATCCGACTCCCCGCAGCCTCCCCACCTCTCTCTCTCTCTCTCTCTCTCTCTCTCTCTCTCTCTCTCTCTCTCTCACACACGCCTCTCTTCATCTTTCCACTGTTATTTATGCAGAGGGATGCGACAAATCTGCATCAAACTGTAGATATTAGTGGATAGCAGGTACCAGCAGCCATTACTCCCTGCTTGTTATCTCCTCCGCGTTCCTGCAACAGTCGGTGTCCCTTAGAGCCGATCGATGCCAGGATGAAGGGACAGGGACGCGAAGCAGGTCGAGTAAGAGAGAAAGGAGTGAGTGACAGCTAGGGGAGAAGAGAGAGAGAGAGAGACGGAAAGAAGTGCTTGTGTAACGAAGAGCATGAATGGAAAAAGAGAGGACTGGAAGAATATTGGATGTTGCGGAGCTTAACGGGGTCGCGAATCGTCGAAGCGTAACGGCCGATTGATAATGACGCTGGTTAATAATTGTCCCACGCCGGCGCCCGTTACTTATCGCAGCGACTCTCCTGGATCCCGAATTCCAACCCAGCCTCCATAACGCGGTTTGCCGTGTTAACTTTATCGTTAAATGAATTTTAAATTTACGGATACACTCGTAGCAGCGAGCAATATCAGAGCGATTTCGGAGGCAAATGGCAATGAAAAAAAGCCAGAGACGTTAACGATGCTATCCAATTAATTTGAAATTATCTAATGCTGCTGGCAAAAGTATTCAAGTCGGTGGAATCTTTTCGAGTGGGAAAAAGGCTAATCAATAATTCATTCCGCCAATTACGTACTTCAATGAGAAATATCAGGCAAGTTATTCCTTCTTTCTCCTTTGCAGTCACGCCAATCGTCATCCTCCGGATGGGTTTGTCCTTGAAACCGAAGGACATCAAGGAAGGCGACGACGTCTACTTCGAGTGCAACGTGCGGGCCAATCCGCAAGCGTACAAACTCACCTGGTTCCATGAGGTAAGACGCCTTTCTAATGGGGCGACTCTACGCCATATGGCTGCTACTCTCTTCGACGCATTGAGAATGACGCTTCACGGAAACCATAGGAAAATCGGTGCTTTTGTACGTATTGTGCGTAAAACCGAATGGTCGTTGAATAAAACTCGGGGTCGCTCGTGCGAACATCGAGATCTGCAACAAAATGTGACACTTTTTACTGAATGGGTTGCGCGGCGGCCAAGCGGGACGGATTGAAGCGAACGCGAAAATAAATGAGCTAACGCGAGCAGGAGTGACGCGCGTAGCCACTGGGAACGGATATCCGGCGTGCAAACGGCACTGTTTTCCAGTCGGCGGATAATTTTTCGAAAGGTAATTCTTTGACAGATCTGCAGACTG